CATGGATATGATCCTATCACAGACAGCACTGTGTTTCAAGACAGATCTTGATATGTTCTTTCCGATGCTGAATGCAACACCATTCCTCTTCAATTTGTCATTCCTGGCATAGTAAACCATATGATTGTCAGAATCAAAATTGCCAATATCAGTCCATTTAAGCTCACTAATGTCTAGGATATCGATGTTCATGCATTCCAATTCATTTTTTACAATCTCCAGTTTTCCTAGATTCATACTTCCTACATTCCATGTTCCGATTATTAATGGATGTTTACAGCTGTTTCTCTTCATTTTGAGTTGTGCCTGATCAGCAGATGAAGGTTCTGAAGGCTTTACTCTGATTGCGTTATCACAGTCATTTTGAGTGCCTTCCAACCTTAGGGGCTCATCTCTGGCACTGTATCTGACAGTGTTCTGGTTCTCTTCATCATGGTTCAATATCTAATAATCTCATGATAACAGTGTTCCACTGCTATTCATAAGGTTTTCAGTGACTAAATATTCAGAAGTAGTCCATCTTGCCTTCCTCCTAGTCTTTGTCTGGAAGCTCAGCTGAAACCTATCTACCAGGTAGTTAGTAGTTCCATGCTTATCCTATAGCACCACACCAGGACTCCCCAAAGGCAAGCTGTTGATGTTTTAAGTGCCACTGAGTCTATTCTGACTCTTAGAGACCCTGTACAGGGTTTCTAAGGAGCAGCTGGTAGGTATGAACTGCCAACCATGCAGTTCACAGTCCAGTGCTGATCCTATAGCGCCTCACCAGTTCCTTTAAAGCACTAATAAGTCTGAAAGTTGACAACAAAATCCAGAAGACACCTTTTAAATGCTGAAAGGAAACAACTGTCAACATTCAATTTTACATTCAGAAGAAAAAATTACTTCATATATAAAGGCAAATTAAAGACACTTTCAGACAAACAAAAACTTAGAGAATTTGTAACCAGCAGACCTGCACAAAGAGAAATTATAATAAAAGAATACTTTTTGAAGTGGGAAAAAAACCCAAAAAAACTCAGACAAAATCATGGACACGCATGAAGTAAGAAAAAAGCACTAAAAAGAATAAATCTGTGGATAAATTTAAATGACTATCAGTTGTACAAGACAATAGTGTCAGTGCTTTCCAATACATGTCAACATTACTGACAAATATTAAAGGAAGGAATCAACTTATCCAGTTGTTCAACGCACACACACAAAAAATGCATGAAATTAAGAAAAAAATCAAAACAAAAAACTTTCAGGCAATTGATCAGTCATGACCTGCATTCATCTACCTAAGTCCAACTTCTGTTGGGCTACATTATTAGCTCCTTCTTCTGTCCTATAATATAAATAGGCAATGATGAGTAGGAAAACAACAGCAGGGAGCAAGAGAAGAGTCAGAACTTTGGGGAAAAGGAACTCTTGATGACCAAAAGTAATTTCCAGGGGTGCTGGGGAAGAAAATAACAACACCACTTCCCTTTTCCTTGAAGCAAATCTAATAGGAAATTTCACATACCTACAGAAGCTTGTATGACATATGTCCCTCCACTTCTCAGTGAAAATGGCCTTATTGTCACATTTTGTTCCTTGATACCTACATAAAAGGAGATGTACACATGCAAAGAATGATTATTGGACTCTGAGGGAGAAGGTGGCCCAAGAAGGAGGTAATACATGTTCCTTCATTACAGGTTTCAACCACACTACAAAGGTATGGGAAAGGAGACGAATTAAATGCACCTGCTCCCACTTGGCAACTGCCTTCATTCTGTGTATTAACAGTCTCCTTTAAAGAGCTAAAAGCTCATTTCCAGGGCTCCCTTGCCCAACAGAAGCCATCCTGAGAATGGCCTTGTCATCTGTGGCTCGGAAATGTCACTAATTTACCAAGTAACCAGGGAATGCTTGTAAGAAATTATTTTAAATATTTATAATCAGATTGGATATTCAATTTGGTTACTTTACACATATTTTTTCCATGAAACATGATTAATTTGTTTCAAAGCAATTTTTAAGTCTTTGCAGGGTATTGGTTATGAAAATATGCTTAAATCTGGGTATAAGTATATGGTGAGGGGATTACTTCCTCAGCAAATCGAGACCCTGGTCAGACTCCACTGGCTGAGGAAGTAATTCCCCCTGACCATATATGTTCACCTAGATTTAAGTTGTTGTAACTGGGTACTATTGAGTTCTGGCTCCTAACGACCCAATGCACAACAGAGGAAAACACTGCCCAATCCTGTGCCAACCTCACACTCACTGCTATGCTTGAGCCCATAGATATTGACACGTGCCAATCTATCTTGCTGGGGTCTTCCCCTTTTTTGCTGACCCTCCACTTCACCAATCATGATGTCCTTCTCCAGGGACTGATCCCTGGAGCTATGGCTAAAGTATGAGAGACCAAGTCACACCATCCAGACTTCAACGGAGCATTCTGACTGTACTTCTTCCAACACAGATTTCTTCTTTGGCAGTTCATGGTACTTTTAATATTCATCTCCAATACCATAACTCAAATGTTCCAATTAGTCTATGGTCTTCCTCATTCATTGTCAAACTTTCACATGCATATAAGGCTACTGAAAATACCATGGCTTGGGTCAGGCACACCTTAGTACTCAAACTGACATCTTTGCTCTTCAACACTTTAAAGAGGTCTTTTTTCCCCCCAACTTTTTATGGTAA